CGCTGTGTGTGTTGCAGGTACGGTCATCGTGCGGGCGACAGCAGCAAGCGGCCCGAGCTGGCCTGGGTCTATGTCGGCAGCCACAATCTCAGCAAAGTGAGTGAGCCGACAAACAGTGACACATCTGTGGTTCCTCTCTCACCATCCTCGTGTGTGTTGTGTGCCACACATATGCAGGCGGCGTGGGGCGAGCTGCAGGAAAACGACTCGAAGCTGTCCATCCGGTCATATGAGCTGGGCATCCTCATCTCACCACACACACTCCGCGGCCGCACCCCGCCCCCACCACACACCACCCCCCACACACAGCTGGCCGGCTCATCGTCATCCAGCAGCAGCAGCGGTGCCGCCACACAGATGCGGTCATTCATGTGGCGCAAACGCGATGACACAGGTCGGACGACACAGACAGACAGGACACATGCAGCCCATATCCACGCGTCTTGTGTGGGTGATGGGCTGTGTGCACTGCAGGGTCCTCTCCCCTGCCCCGCCTCTACGCGGCCACTTCTCGGTGCCCGAGCGGTCCACCTGATGTGCCGCTGATCGGTGTGCCTCTGCCCTATCCCCTGCCGCCGGTGCCCTACAGCAATCGTGACGTGGTGTGGACGACAGACGGCATTCACGCTGGGCCGGACAGGCTTGGCAAGGAGGCAGGTGGTGACGGCGCGAGCAAGACTGTTCAGAGCAGTTCCTCGCGGGCTGACTTCTGATGTGGTGTGAGTGGGAAGTCGGAGGTGTAGTCTGTGGATCGGTGTACATGCACTACACGATAGACGTCTCATCGATGCGTTGCGCATCGACTGGACCTCATACTGCACGCAAAGATACTGCTCGAATGATGTCAACAAACACGAAGGCGTGCACGATTGACAGAGATACCCAAGACTCATACACCTCAGGATATGGGTGCCGCCCCACGCGGAATGGAAAGAATCCTGGTCGGCGATCTTAGCTCGCATGAGACCTTCCCGCGATAGATCAGCAGCGCCATGAACGGGATGAGGAAGCGGCAGAAAGGCCCGGTTGCGGCCTCAGCAGCTGCCTCCAGCGCTCCTGCCTCGGCCAATCAGCTGCCCCGTTTGTTCGACCTGCCCCAGTGCGTCGAGCGAGTCGTCTTGTTCCCTCTTTGTGGCGCTGACGGCCTCGCTCTCTTTCGGCACACATGCCCCCTCGGCGGCCAGCGTGTGTCGGAGGACTACATCAAATCGCAAATCGACCGCCTGATGGTCACCAAGGCCATCAACAACATCGTCAGCTATCGGGTGCCGCGGCGGGTGCGGAGGGACCAGCTGCGGCCGATGGACTTCCTGCTGCGGCTGCTGGTACACACATGGACGCACTCCGACTCTCATTCCATCTCTTGCGTCTATCGCTCCTTGGCGTCTGTGTGTGTCGGCAGTATATCATCGAGAGGAGCGGCGAGTGGGCAGCGATGGTGCCAATAGTGAGGGTGGCGAAGCATCTGGGGCGGGTGGAGCGGCTGCCGATAGAGCTTAGCAGTGCTGATGTGGAGGCGGTGGGCAGCCGGGCGGTGTTTGAGGGGCGGTGTGAGGCGATGCGGCAGCTGTCACTCATCCAGCGCCATCTCATTATGAGGCTCGAGCGCGATGACAACGGTGAGGAGCGGCTGGATGGAGATCGGCTCACCGTCCGCACCCTGCAGACGCTGCCGGCCAACAGCCCCTTCCGCGATAGATTCGACCCGAACGACCCCGTGTGTCAGTATGACGGTAAGGGCGGGAGGGATAGATGTGGAGAGACCTATGGGTGCCTGTGTGTATATGTGTGTTTGTAGATGCCGACTATGCTTCAGTTCGCGACGCTGTGTTGTATGAGTGAGGAAAATGAGTAGAATGACACAAACGAACTCACATAAACAGATTGGCTGCGCCGCTGTGCCATGGTGTGTCTGACCAGGATGCGCTCGGGAGCGTCGCAGGTCGCGTTCCAGTATGTCCAGCGGCCCAACAATGCCACACGGTTCAGCCGACTCGTCAGTCACACACCCACACACACACACGATTGCCTCACCAGCTGTCCCACTCACTGATTTTTACCTCCCGTTCTCTTCAGCGGTACCTCGCCACTCAGCAGCCGCCCGTGTGAGACTGCCGCACCATCAGCACACGCCACTGGAGGGTGGGAGGAGGAATCCGCGAGCGCGTGATAGTGTTGCGTGGAGACCAGCAGGGTGACACATTCGAGGCCCACATCACCATCGACAGCTACCCCACCATTGCCCGCACCCGGCTCTGGACGACGGAGCCTCCGGTGTCGGGCAGGATGGGAGCCGCCAGGTTCCCCGAGACAGTGAGGGTGGCGAGGCAGGTCATGGGGGACGACGCAGAGGTGGCGTTCGGCAACCCGCTAGCCGTAGCCGTACACTAATTCATTGAGCTCTCAACTCTCTCGTGTACAGAGAGGCTTCAGGTCTGCCTGTCTGTCTGTCTGGCCATCGCCACAGTAGCAGATGGCAGGCAGGCAGGCAGGTGTGTTCGAGAGACAGACAGATAAGTTGACGGATGCATTGTGTGTGGTGTGGCTGCCTGCACGGGGTGGGGAGGGGTACTTAGTTGAATGGATTGACAGACTGCCTTCCTGCCTGTGTGCCTGTGTGTGTGTGTGTGTGAGGCGGGTTTTTTCAATGGGGAGATGCAGCACGTGGGAATCCTCCTTCTCCACACGCAGATACATTCACGAACACCAAAGACGCCTTGTCAGCCACCATCTACCATTCAAGTGCAGCACTGCATCTTCTGATATGGTACACACAAGCGAGAGCGACATTGCCAGTGTCCTCACTGCATCATCGATAGATTGACACATTGAACAAAACCACCCCCGCCCCGCCATGCTAGGCTCTTCACGAGTGTGTGACGTGCATTCGACTCTGCTCGACCACTTGCAGCAAATCACCCAGACGCACGGGCTCCGCACACGCACCAACCTGCACACACACATGACCCATGTCAGGCCTCTCTCTGTGTCTGCGTACCATCCTGACTGTCATGGCTCCCGCGGCGCAGCCGAGCTTCAAGCCGAGCTCCACAGAGCGGCCCCACACCCAGCCAAACAGAAAGCCCGCATCGAAGGCATCGCCCGCACCGGTGGCGTCCACAATCGCCTCACTCGGTAAGGACACAGCCGGGCACTGATACACACGATATGGCAAAGAACTGCACAGACAGACAGGCAGCATAAAAGGGGAGACAGAGAGTGGCGGGGTGTGTGTGTGGATGTGTGTGCATCATCTTACCTGTCGTGTGTGTCTGGGTGTGTCTTTCGCTGTGCTGCGATAGCGCCGCGGTCGCCCTGCTTCATGACCACCAGGGGGACGCGGCGCACGAGCCAATCGAGGGCGGCCATGCGGTCAGACACATCTGCACGCACTCATGGTGTGGCTGAGTGGTGGGTGGGATGTTGTTGTGTGTTGACTGACGGGCGTACTTGCGATGCGCGTGGCCTCGGTCTCGTTGGGGAGGAAGCAGTCGATCAGCGGCAGGACGTCATCCAGGCCGTCGAACCGATCTTAGCACACACACACACGCGCATCCATCTCTGTGTGTGTGCTCGTGTGTGTGTTGGTGTCTAGCTAAAGGCGCACCCACCGTGGGGGTCGAATGCGGTGTCCATGCTGGTCGTCATCCCAAGAGCCTTCACCTGAGCTGCATAACATGACATAGCACAGCACAGCACAGCACAGAGATACACCCACCCACACACCGACACATGTGCAATTGACAGACTAACGTACCCAGGATGGTGGGCAGCTGTGGGCGTAGTGCGTGTAGGTTGTAGACGCCCGCCAGGTGCAGGTGCCCCACCCGGCCGCCGCTCACCAAGGACACCATGTCGACGTCACTCACATCCCACGCACCTGTCGCACCGTAGTCTGTCACAAACCTGTTGGACACAGACACACACACACATGTGTGTTGGGGTGTGTGTGTGTGCGTGCGGCTTACGCGCGATCGCCGTCGGCTGCGAGGCAGAGGCAGACTCCGGTGCTCTTCTTCTTGTCGGTGGGGCCGCACACCTCCACATTCACCTGGGCGCACTTGTCGCGCAGAATCCGGGCGAACGCATCCTCACCAAACGCACCCTGAACACATGCACACACATGGACGGATGGATGGGTGGGTGAGGATATGGACGCGCTTGTTGTGAGTCTGTGTCCCGTACCTGCAGGAGGACCGTGTGTGCATCACACCATTTGGGCAGCTCGTCCGCTGAAGGGAAAGGCGAGTCGGCCTGCACACACGCCGAGACGAACACGTGCGGGCAGTAAGAGACATGAACGTGTATGGGTGTCCACGACTCGTACCGAGCGTATTTGCCCGAGTGGGTCGTTGTCGATGGCCGACGGCCGCGACGACTCGACGAGCGACGACAGATGCACCGCTGTGTTGAGTGCTGAGCCTGTGTGAGGGTGTACAGCGGTCACACACATGGATACGTCTGCCTTTGTGTATGTCTGTGTGCTTCGCCCCTTACCGCCCGGGAGGATGCGCATTGGCTGTGTGCAGGCCGTGTCGGTGCCCAACACAGGTAGCCGGGGCAGCTGAGCACACCACACACACACATGGATACCGGGTGCGCCTTCGCGCCTGCCTGCCTGCCTGCCTGTCCACCTGTGCAGCCACAATGTCTGCGCACACACACAAACACACAACACACAAAGACACGTGTGCACCCCACGCACATTGTGTATGTGCGTGTGTGTGTCTGAATGAGCATACCGACGAAGACATCTCCCAAGCACGCGATGGCGGTGCCCTTGCCGACGGTGCCGTTGGTCTCATCTCGCGAGTGGCGGCCCTCCGACTTGCGGCGAGACGACAGATTCAGACTGCTCAGCTGACATGTACACACACACACATACAGAGAGAGAGAGAGAGCCCATTCACTTCTCGTGTCTGTCTGTCTGTCTGTCTGTCTGTGTGTCTAGGTATACGCACCATCTGAGAGCATCTGGAGAGCAGGGCTTCGAGCTTGCGCGCCGTGGGCAGCTCCGAAGGCACCACGCCCATCAGATGACGCACCTGCATCATCCACCCGTTCGCCCAGCCACTCATTGATGCGCTGAGGGATGGATGGAAACACCCGTTTGTGTGCAGACCAAGCAGCGTACCACACTCAGCCATGCGGAGCAGTCCCTTTCGAGCAGGCCTTCCTCCTCCAACACACTTGAGCATATGTCCTGTGCACTCACACAGACAGACAGGCACATAAGCAGCATGGCGATCTCTCATTCTGCCTGTGTGGCTTCCTGACTGCTCGGCTCACCACGACGGTTTCCATGCCCAGGACGGCCCCCACACAGAGAACGCCGCGCACATTCTCCGCACACACGCCACTCTGCAGCGATTGACACTCACACACACACGCATACACAGACGAAGACTTACACACATATTCAGACACAGGCAGGCAGGCTTACCCGTTCTTCTGAAGAGCTCTCCAGCGCCGCATACCCCACGCCGATGGCAGCCTGCAACGCGGTCTCGTCTGCGTATTTGGCCACTTGATCGAGCAGCGCTGTCAAGTCCATCTGATGCTGCTGTTGGTCCTGCTCCCGGAGCTTGTGCTCGAAGAGCGGGCTCAGTGCCGCCAGAATGACCCTGCACACAGCACACGTGCACCTGTGTTTCTTTCTGTCCGCATGAGCTCGAGTGCAGGACCGGCTGCACAGCGTACCGATGGCAGGGCAGTGAGAGAGATCGGCACGTGATCGTGATGTCACACAAGATCCCTGTCACACACACACAGAGAGTTGTTCTCTCTCCGTGTGTCTGTCTGCCTGTCTGCCTGTCTGCCGTGTGTGTGTGTGTGTGTGTACCTTCTTGCTGGAACAGGGCCAGCTTGGCAGCTGGTGTCAGGGGCGACGGCCGCTGCGTCAGCGACCGACGGAGAGGCTGCGAGGTCGACATCTGACAGCGATGCTGTGACCCACCTGATGTGGACAGGGGAAGGAGATTAACGCGAGATCTTCAGCGTTTCTGGTCAACTGACGATGACCCTGCCCTGATGCGCGCAGCTCGAGAAAGATGATCTTCCGCGAGCTTAGCAAGCGAGCCGCTTCCGTTGTTGGCCGCACAGATCAGATGACAGATATGCAGCGCCTCTCCGCCGCCCCTATGGTTTCGGTGGTGTTCCTCTCCGTATTGGCGTCGTCGGCCATCGTGGCCCTGGCAGAAACCGTCGGAAAAGATGGTCAGATGGATGGACGCACGTGGATGGGGAATGCCATGGATGGATGGATGGTGTGTGTATGCAGCTGGACAGCTCGAGATGGCGGCCACGTGCCCCGTCGATGTTGACCTCGAGCTCTGCACGGACAAGAAAGGCAGTAAGTAACCTGACTGGGAAAGTGCTGGTGCAACCTGACTGGGAGGGATGGATGGATGGATGGCTGCAGAGTTCATGGCCGGCATTGTGTGCAGCATGGTGGACCCGGTGAGCAAACGCAGAGCAGCACAGCCCGCTACATCAGCGGATGGATGGATGGATGGATGGATGTCTTTGCAGTGGGAGCGCCAGATCTGGAAGCAAGAGAAGGCCGAGAATCTCGAGAAGCAGGGCGACAAAGACGCTTATTTCAAGTGGATAGAACGACGGGCCGTGATGAAGGACGGGTAAGGGGGAGTCAATCGAATTCGCTCACTCACGGCCTTGCGGCGGGCGTGTGTTGATGTGCGTGTGCTGCTGCATTCATCCAGCAAACCTGTGTTGCTCAAGGACAAGTACCCGAAGGAGGAGTGGCAGAAAATACCGGGTATCCGAATGAAGTGCATCCACCGCACCTACCCATCCCCCACCGATTCGCCTGTATGTGTGTATGCAGGCCCTTTTGACTTTTCCGCAGAAGGCAAGCCGAAGAAAAGCTGCTGGTAAGCGCACTACGCCGCTCAACTCGGACATTGATATGTGCGTGTGTGTGTGTGTGTGCGCGCGTGTAGGTGCAAGGAGAAGAAAATCGGAGACAAGAAAGAGACAGTTTGCGAGGTCTGGCGCATCCCTCCAGATCTGTCGCCTGCATGGGCCACACACACGACGCAGAGAACCACACGCATACAGAGAGATGTGTGTATGCGTGTGTGCAGCCGGAGGGAGCCGTAGATCAAGCTGGGTCATTCGTGCAGACCGGTAGGCAGGCGACTGTATGTATTACAGTGCAGGTGAGTCAATGGATGGGTGGATGGATTGGTGGACAGAGGAATCAGAGGTGGAGCAGTCCATCGTGCGGCAGCGGCTTCAGGCCGAGGAGGGTAAGTGAGCGTGTGTAGATGATCTGTTCATGTGTGTGTGTGTGTGTGTGTGCCGTCCAGAGGCCAACAAGCCCGCGGACACCAAGCACACCGGCAAGCCGACCAAGACCACCAAGACGAACAAGCAGAGCACCACGCTCGAGGGGGAGCTGTAGACTGTAGAGAGAGACACACACGCATACCATACGCACCACACCAAACACATACTCCTAATCTAACCTTCTAGCTAGACGAACGCGTGGTGCACTTCAGGGTGCGTAGTAGGGACGGGTGTGCGCGTGTGCATGTGGTTTAAGTTCTTTTTGCCACCCATGAGCACACCTTGTACAGACAGTCTATCTCTTCTCTCTCTCTCCTTCTTTGGGTCTGTTTGGCTTTCTGTGAGGAGGACGGGGACTTTTTGAAGAAGAGAAGACGAAACAACAACAAGTCGGTGAAGGCAGTGTCGTCACAGCTGTCAACAAATGTAATGTTCCCACACAGTCTCCGCGTCGCATACACCCATCCACCCATCCGCACATGGACACACACACACGCCCACGCCCACGCCCATACACACACGCACACAGACCATTATTTTCATTTAAGGCTGCTTGATCTTCACGTTCCTGCACAGGTTCACCGCCTCACACGGCTGTAAACAGACCCTCACACAGACGAAGAGGGAGAGAAAGTGAGTGCATTGCTGCATTCATTGTCACCCGCCAGACCTTGTCGAAGAGGTGGAACAGATTTGCATGGTGGTACTTGACGCACACGTAGTCGCAATCTGTATGTGTGTATCCAATCCACCACACACAGGGTCACAGACACGTATCCTCTCTTTCTCTCCCTGTGTGTGTGTATGGGGACCTCTGGGGGCGAATGAGGGGCTGTCCTCGTTGAGACACGTGCCAGCCGCCTGCACACACAACACCAGAAAGAGAGAGAGGGGTCGGTGGCGCGGGGTGTGCCACAGTGCATACGGGCTTCTGATCGGCGTTTCTCTGGCAGTAGCAGCACCGGAGCTTAACCGACTGCAGGTGCACCCATCAATCAAACACCCGGATGACAGCACTTTCATCGGTGTGTCCATGCAAAATGGATACCGGCGCGCGTGTGGTGGGCGAGAAGTCGGTCTGCGTCGCCTGCAGTGCAGTGCAGTGCAGTGCGCGCCACACACACACATATGCACGCAAGACCACGATGCAATGCAGCCCACACAGGCATGCCCTTACCTCATCTCGTGTCCCCTTCTGCACACAGAAAGACAGAGAGACAGACAGAGAGAGACGCCCATATGGATGGATGGATGGATGGATGGACATATAGACACACACACGGGGACGTACTTGGTTCTCGTCATGCACGCCGAACTGGCCCGTCGCTTCGGTGTGGTGCCGCCCGTGCACCGACCTTTGCTGCAAGTCACCCTCCTGCACACAAAGATCAGACAGACAGACATGCATGAGAGCCACATGGCGGATGAGTGTGTGTGCATATGCTCACGGATGTGTGAAGTGTTGCGTTGTACAGCCGGTGCCTGGGTGGTGGACGCCCATGCACATCGCCTACACACACGCGCGCATCCATCCATCTGTCTGTGTGTGTGCGCCTGATGAGTGTGTGTCTGCATAATGCGCACCCAGGTGCTCTTGCTTCGGCGATTTGGCCCGCCGATCGAGCTCGCCCCCTTCCTGTGTCCATCCATCCATCCCATGTCCGTATGTGCGTCGATGAGTGAGTGCGGCGGTCGGCCGTTCGTTGCGTACCGTCACTTTAGGGGCGGGCTGCTGGATCGGCTTCCCTTGTTCTTGTTGTTCTGTCTGCGTTGCTGCCGCTGCCTGCACACGGGACAATTGGATTGGTATAGACTCACCACTCGGAAAATGATGCAGCAGCGCAATGCCTACCATCTCGGGGTCCTTTGCTGTGATATCGTCTCCCGTCTGTGTGTGCTTGGTCTCCTGCACACACACCACACCCCCAAGCACACACACTGTCTTCTGTGTGTCTGTGAGTGAGTGAGTGAGTGAGTGGATACGTCTTATCCACGTACCGCCTGTTTCGCGCTTGGCTTGGGTGCCTGGGGTGGCTCGTTTCCGCCTTCTTCGTCTTCTGTCTGGGTGGATGTCGATACCTGCGTTGCATACGCACACACACACACACATGTTGCGCATCAGTGGTTTGGAGTGCTTGTACCCTCGGACGCACCTTTTTCTTCTTCTGCATACACAGCACGGCAAACACACCGGTCCATAGCGACCCCGCCCAATGGAGGGGTGTTATGGATCAGGCCGCAGTGAGTGCACATCTCTCCCTGACTCCCCTCTCTCTCTCTCTCTCTCTGTGTGTGTGTGTGTGTGTGTGTAGGTGTGCATACCTTGCCGATTGAAATCCACTCAGAGGGGGCCTCTGTTGTCTCCCCTTCCTCCTCCCCTCCCGCCTCCCCTCCCGCCTCCCCTGTCTCTTTCCCTTGGTCGTTTCCCTTGTACGCAGGGGGCGAACTGCACTCATCGGCACATCACATGCCAGCACATGAACACAATCACGTTGGTGAGGTGAGTGCTGGTTGATCACGGTGGCCATCCATCTACACACACACACTCGCTAACCTGCGCACGCACATTGGGGCAACCTGCCCTTGTGTGGACACCTGTGCGCCTGATGTGCGTGAATCGAGGGATGAGAATGCACCATGCAGGCAGCGCGGCACGTACCGACATATGCGCCGCAGAAGGCGTAGCACGTGTCTGCCGGACAGAGGCCGCTGTACATTGCACCTGACAGACAGACAGACGCACACACATGATTGCGATATCTGCTCATCTACTCGTGTGTGTGTGGTGTGTGGTGTGTACCAGCTGTTGGCTCTTTGGTCGCTGCGTAGGCGCACATGTCGCCTGATGGGCTGTGACAGCAGGCAGGCAGGCAATAGTGTTTGTGCCTGGGTGTGTGTATGTGTGTGTGTGTGTCTGCGCACCTCCTGCCCCCGCTGCTTTCTGTCTTGATCTCATTATCGGCTGTGAGCAGAGACATTCAGACGCACAGACGTGTGTGGCTGTGCTGTGTGTGGATGGACAACACCTCAGGGCTTGCCCACCGGCAGAGAGCTTGGCTGTTCCCTCTCCATCCTTCTGCACACACACACACACACACTCATTGAGAAAGAGAGGGAGAGAGAGAGAGAGAGACAGACAGAAGTAAGGGCAGACAGACACCTTGTAGAGCACACATTGGCCCTTCGTATACGCAAGACAGCACTTTTCCCTGTCGGCCGGAGATACTGCACACACCGTCACACACACACACACACACGTAGAGATTCTCACACACACACACACACGCACCCACATAGCAGTGTACCTGATGTGCAAACATAGGTCTTCACCAGGCCGTCTGTGTGCTCTTTGCACTGGCAGGCCTCCCCTGCACACGCCGCGACACATCTGCACACACACACACACACAGAGAGAGAGAGAGAGACACCCAGATGCGCGTGTGCGTGTGTGTAGGGTGGGAGAGAGTACTTGTTGAGGTCGAAGAAGCTCTTCCCCGTCTGAGTGTGTATGCGGTTGTGGGCCATACGCATCATATCATATGGAGAGAACCGTCCGTATACACACATGCATCAGTGTCAGCCAGTCCCAGACTGACCCACCTCCGGCGAGCTGCACTGAGGCCCGTCAACCGTGGCTGTGCGACGCATATACACATACACACAACAGACAGAGGACAGCGACAGACATGCACAAGGCCATACTGATGCCTGCTGCCGGAGAGCATGCGGTGTGCGTCTACCTACCGGCATGGAGGGAGGTGCGCTGCAGAAGCTGCTGCTCGTCCAAGTCCCCCACCACTGCATCCAGTCAGTGCAGAACATCGAAACGTCAGACCTAGTGTATGTCTGTGCGCATACCGTCTTTCTTGAGCAGCACATTCCCAGAGACCAACTGGCTCAGTGCCAAAAGCAGAGCGTACGCCCCAACCTGGCGCCCCCTGCACACACACATGATCAACGATGTCATTTTTTGTCAAATGCGTCCGGCACGTGTCGGGATGGTCTCTTGGCGACCTCGTCATTGCAGAGCGGCCCCGCAGAGGCTTCTCAGGACAACACTGCAAAAAGAGGCACGTACGTCACATGCAGAAGCCATCACTCAACGAATTGAATGAGACAATGCCGTCTTTCTCATTTGGTTATGGATGTGATTTGCCGAGCTCACCTTGCTCTCCAGATGCGTATCGATTTGGAGCCTGCGGATGAGAATCAGGAAGTGCAAGCTGCCATGCATGAGATTGGGGGCTATTTGGAACGCCCTCAGTCTCAGACTGCGAATGATTTCGGGCGGCTGATACCTTCCCAACTAACAGGATCATGATGATGCGGGGGCAAGGGGGCGATGTGCACACTCTCAGCCAGAACGCGGCACCGCCAGTCTCGCTGGCCATGACCAGACCGACATTCCCTATCGAGCAGGAGGACGTACTCCCACACGCACACACGACAGGGGCACACCAGATGGGGAGATGTGTGTGCCTTTGTGTGGACAGGTGAGCGATTTGTTGCCCGAGGGGACGAGCACCCGCTGCTGTGCGTCGCCGAGCAGCTGCTGCACTTGGGGTGAGTGAGCAAGGGCATGGAGCCCCGTACTTCAACATGGTGGATGAAGACGTGTGGCACTGTGTGTCGGATGTGCAGGCCAGCCGTCGTCATCGGATCAGCAGCCGCAGCCGGGAGGGGCCGGAGGGCTGAGGGGGATGATGCATGTGCCACTGCGCCAACAGCCAAGTACACACCCGTGGCTAAAGTAACGGCTAGATGGATGGATGTGTGTGTGTGTGTGTGGATGGTACGCACAGACGACGACGGTCTATACGAGCTTCTCGGCTCGGGTATGTTTGCATGTGGGCATCGATCTGTGTTTGTGTGTGTGGACGAGAATGTGTTCGGCTGTGTGTGTGTGTGTGTGTGTGCAGGGTCATCGGCTCTCTCGTCGTTCAGGGAAGGACCACCTCCTCCAATGCACGTGGTCAGTAAGTACCTAATATGTAGCTGTGCATGGGCATGATGGACACATTTCCTTCTGTCTCTCCCTCCCTGTGTGTTTGTTGATGGCTGAGCAGAGGCCTCCTCGTGCTGCCGCTGTTCCTCCCCTTCCCCCTCAGATGCACCAAATGGTGCATCTTTACGGTCCGTCGGCACAATCAGCCGATAACTCAGAGCGACACACACGTGAAATCAATCGCACGGTGCATTCGGTTGCAATGCAGGCCCGCCCCCCTCTCCCCTGCCCTTCCCACATCCGGTGCACGGACAGCTACTCACCCATTACGCCTCCACCCCTCCGCCCCATCCTCAGTTTCATCCGCCCATGAAGCGGAAAACCGGCGCACGTACGCATGTTAGCTCCACTAATGGCAGAGTGTGCGTGTGGGTGTGGTGTGGTGTGGGCAGCGCCATTGCCGCATCCCCGGGTGCGCAGGACGCAGAGCAGAGGAATGAGCGAGGAAGACACTAAGGGGGCGGACAAGGTGGGTGCTTCTGGGTATACGTACACAGAGAGAGACACACGGATAGCTATCCATCCATCTGTCTGTCTGTCTGTCTGTCTGTGTGTGTGTGTCTGTCTCTGTGTGTGTGTGTGTGTCCACAGGAGAGGAGAGACACTGCAGCTGTGATATCTGCAAGAGAAAGGCCGGAGAGAGAGGGGGAAGAAATGCAGGAGGAAGTCAGCCATATGCCTGCACACGTACGGACACGGACACGGACACACCCAGACACACACTCACACCTTCACCGTGTCCGTACGCATGGCATGCATGGCATGCACATTTCTGCACCTGTATGTGTATATGTGCAGCCCCCGCCTCCCAGCAGGAGGCTGTCGTCCATCGAGCACATGCGCGTCTCGTCCATCATACTCGACGCAATCGCACAGGAAGTACACACACCCACCCACCCTCACCACCACCCCTCCACACACACACGTATGTGCGTGTGCACTCACTATACAGGTGGCCATCCCGCCTCCCATTTTGCGGCCAACACAGGAGCAGACACACGTATGTATCTTCTTGTGTGTGCAGAAAGTCCCTCAATACGTCAGTCCCTCGTGTTGCGTGCAGGCAGGAAAACGCGAAATAGAGGAGCAACAGGAGGAGCAGCAGCAGCCAGAACTGGTGCGTGTGTGTGCGTGTGTGTCTCGTGGAGAGACGGAGACCCTGTTTACGCGTGTGCAGAGAACGGAGCTTCCATTGCTGCCACCCTCTCCCGCCCCAAAACAGCCGCTCACACGTGTTTCCTACCACCCGTACACACACAAACAGATGGCCATGGTGACCATACACACACCCCTACCTACACATAGACACAGATGTGTGTGTGTGTGTGTTCAGTCGAGGAGTTCCCCGTCTGTGCGTGTGTCTGAGTCTCGGTCGCGAGCTGAGCTTGAGCAGCGGCAGCTGCTGAGAGCAGCCAGCATGCCTTGCACCCCCAGGTCTGCACACCTCCCACCGCCCCCAACACACACTCACTCACTCACTCACACACAAAGATGGCTCTGTGTGTCGATCGGCCTCTCTGTGTGCGTACGTGAATGTGCAGGGGGCCGCCGCTGTCGCGACCGGCAAGCCCACCCAGGTGATTGCGCGTGCGGTGATGGGGTAATTACACACATATGTGGGTTTGTGTGTCGTGTGCAGGGTTGCTGCAGAGGTCAGCAAGAAGAGCGCCCCCATGAGCGAACGCATTCAGGTACCTTTTTCGCATACACACTCTGTACCTACCGATGCCTCTCTGTCTGTCTGTCTGTCTGAATGACTGGAGGACTGGGGCGATCTGATGGACCTCTTGCTCGACGGCAAGAGAGGACAAGGTGGGTCCGCCTGCCTGCACGTCTGTCTGTCTGTGTGTCGTGTGTCTGTCTGTATGCTTCCTTGTGCCTTCATGTGTGTGTGCAGGTGTGTACCGTCAGTTCACTGCCAGTGGGGTGGGCAGGGGAGGGGGCGGCCCTGCCCTAAGCAGCCAGGTCAGTCAGCCGCTCTCTCCCACACCCTCACTCACGTCAACACACAGAGAGAGACATGGAGGGAGGTGTGGATGCGAGTCGAGTGCAGGTGTCTCAGCTGGCGAGGAAGCGCACCTTTGGCCTCCCTGCACACAAGGAAGAGTGCATCAACATGATTCTGGTTGGCACCTACACCCACACAAACAAGCCCATGCATGACGGCTGGCTGCAGCAGCCAGCCTTTATTGTGTCCTCGTTCACACGTGCAGGCTCTGCAGGCGCGAGTGCAGGCAGCCGAGATGCAGTCGGCCGAATGCGGCGAGAGAGAGGTAGATTGCCACCCTTTAGCTCCACACAGACACAGACACAGACACTTATGCGCAGCCCTCGACGTGTGTGTGTGTGTGCGTAGGCGGCATTGCGGCGCAGCTACGCCTCTTTGCAAGTGAGCACACACCCTCGGACACACACATGAGTGCTGGGTCAGCCAATTTCTCCGTCTTGACGTTGGTGTGTGTCTGTCTGCCTTTGTGTGCCTTAGAACGAGCTGTTCAGCTTGCGAGTACAGATGGGGGGTCGCCCAGAGACAAAGGAAGAGCAGACGCAGTGCGAGTAGGGACAACGCATGTGTGTGTGCGTGTGTGTGTGTCTGTGTGTGTGTGGATGCTCACATAGGCTTCTGAGAGAGGGAGGGCTAGGGCTGTCTGTCTGTGTGTGTGTGTGTGCAGGTGTGTTGTGGACACACGAGAGACGCAGACCTCTGAGGAGCAGACGATCCTCCCATTGACAACCACAGATGGGTACCCACACAGAGCCCTCACGCATCACAATGCGTGTGTGTATCCATGTGTGTGTGAGCATAGGTGCGCACAGACAGAAGGTGTCCCCGCCACCACACACGAGCAGAAGACACAGACCGACTCGTAAGGAAAGAACTGCCAATCTCCATCCATCCATCCATCCACTCGACAGAGTGGCGCGCATCGACGGACACGCGCAGACCCACACCACGTACGGCCAACCACCCTCCCTCCCTCCCTCCCTCCCTCCCACACACACACACATGGTGACATTGTGTGTGTGTATGTGTGTGTGCAGAGACACCTGTGCGCAAGACACGCAGACAGAGTTGTGTGCCACACACAAGAGGGAGACACAGACGATCCCAACACAGAAGAAGAGGTAGGTACGCTCACACACACACACACACACACACACATGTATATGCGTGTCTGTCTGTGTGTGTCATTGTCGTGTGTGCAGGCCGCCTTCTCTCGTGCACACGCACACACAGACAGCGACGTTACCAATACGACTGCCCATGTGTAAGCGAGTGACAGAAAAAGTTAATTAAAGCCAGCACACGAGAGAGAGCTGTGTCCTTGTGTGGACACGCAGCGAGCAGCGCATCGATGCGGCACGTGCACCGATGCTCGCAGACGGACGACACACAGCAGACAGAGGGCCAGAGAAGGCCACCAGAACGGGCACACAGGCACGTCGGCACACACACATGATATGGACGCACACTCATACTTTTTTCGTATGTGCGTGTGCAGGTGTGTGCAGACAGACGAGCAGCAGCTGATGGCGCTCGCGTCAGTGGACAGGGCAGTCCGCGAGGCGTATGAGCGATACAGACCCTTCTTCGACGCACTCACCACCCACACACAGCCGGACGGTACACTCTGACTTCTCCTGCACACCGACCGAATGCATGTGCTCTCTCTCTCTCTCTGTGTGTGTGTGTGTGTGTGTAGACATCAGTACAGCCACACAGCTGGTCGACAGGCTGCAGAAAGAGGTCGCCCTCCGGCTCCCACCACACACGCATCCATGCCGTCACGTGTGCCTCCATCCATCCATCCATTAGGTGTGTCTGTCCCTCTGTGCAGGTGCGAAAACAGCGGCTGACGATCCAGCTGCTCAACGACCGCATCCGGCTGCGGGATGGACACACTTCTTTCGACAAAGTAAGCGAGCGACCTGACGCCACGCCCGGTGCTGTGTGTGCCTTAAGCTTGCGTGTCGATCGGCAAGAGAGAGAGGATGTGATGTGTGTGGTGTGCAAGCAGGTGCTGGAGGCCCGTCTGCACATGCAGGTACGCAATGGGCGGACGCAGGGCCCTGCTCAGCTGCTTCAAAGCTATCTGTGTGTTCGTGCGTGTGTGAAGGAGGAGAGAATCGCCGAGTTGACGCAGGAGCTGGCCGGCGCACTACCACCACCGTACCTTCACACACACATGGAGAAAGACATCGATGATTTGTCACGTTTCTGTTTGTCGACACAAAGGCCTCTGGCCGCTGAGCAGCCGGCGGACAAGAGCGCTCTGCAGGTACGCAGCGCAGGTGTCTCTCTCTGCTCTTTGGACGTGCCTGCCTGGTGTGTGTGTATTTCTTTCTGCGCATATGCTATGCAGCTGCGAAATGAGCTCTCAATCGTGCAGTCCTCTCTGCTGGACGCGCAGCACAAGTAAGCTAAGCAACTTTCTGTCTGTCTGTCCGTGTCCTCTGTGTCTGCAGGAGTCATTCATTCACTCTCTCTCTCTCCCTGTGTGTGTGTGTGTGTCTCTTCAGGATATGCACACTAGAGCAGGAGAAACAGAGCCTGTCCACACAGCTGCGCAACAAGTGCACGCAGATGGCCAGAATGAAGAACCAATGCGCTCAGAAGGTGCACACGTTGCCTCTCACTCCACTCAAATCCATCCATCCATCCATCCGCGTGTGTGCAGATGCGTGAGCGGTCGCTCACACAGCAGGAGGGTCCGTACAGTCGCTGCAAGTGGGGGTGTGAGGATATGCACCGCATTCATTCCGTCCACACCATGCGTGAGTGCACACTCATAGCCATACACACACACACACACAGAGAGAGAGAGAGAGAGAGTTCTGCGTGCGTCTGTGAGTGTGTGTGTGTGCAGCGAATGTGATGCGATCGCTGCGGGCGTTCATGAGCGAGTACCGACCTGGTGAGCAAACATAAAGACAGCCAGTCGTCTTACTTTCTTTGTGTGTGTCTGTGTGCGGAAACAAACAGGTGTTGGAGACCACGTACGCCACCAAACACACACACATACACACACACACATTGCATGCGTGTCTCCATCTGACTGTGTCTCTGTCCGTCTGTGTGTGTGCGTTAGAAACCGGTGGCTTTGCACGCGCAGCGATGCACAGAAGACGTAAGTACGAGGACACATTCTATGGCATGGATAACATCTCTCTCTCTCTCTCTCTGTGTGTGTGTGTGTGCGTCACATTTCCAAATGCCTGCAGGTGCCCCCGACCGCCAGGCCGTGTCATTCGACCGCTAGCCACCTGTCTGTCTGTCTACACCACTAGACACCAAGAAGAGGAAGATGCGTCAATGCGTCAGTGAGTCCATCCACGACATGAAGGTCCATGCAATGAGTCCACACATCTCTTTGTCCTATACCTCTCTCTACCATAAGACCAGCACACACGCCGCCACAGCAGCGGCGACCGACAAACTGAGCAGCAAGTGCATGCAGGCGCTCACCAGACCCCTCAGCCCATTGCTGCCACGTGCATTGGCGTCTCTTGCGTCCATCAGCGAGGCCGCGTACTGCCCCACAGCACCCACAACCGACAGCAGCAGCACAGACAGCACCGCACCTCCGCGAAGATGCGCTGATCTCTCTGCGCGAGACGGCTCTGGTGTTGTTGCTGCTGGAGGCCTGCGACACACACACACACACACACAGAGAGAGAGAGAGAAAGAGAGAGACATCCATCCACCAATCCACACACACACGCACACACGCCCGTCCATCAGACTCACCCATTGGGAGCAGCCACAAGCATAAAATCCCGTATATCAAGGTCGTCAGGCGACTCCAGACCCTCCAGCACCATTCGGTGTGCGCCGTCCTGGGTGCTGATGACGACACTGCCTGCTTGGATGTTGAGCTGGCTGAGCGACGAGATGTGGAAGGCCCGCATGTCCAGCTGATCCTCGCCGGGGGTGAAGTCGCTTATGGTGGATGTGCCGGCTTGGGTGGAGAGGACGAAGAGATCGCTGCCCGCTCCCCCTGGTCGGGAGACACGCACACACAATATGTGCACCTGCATGTGTCTCTTCGTCTCTCTCTCTGTCTCTCTCTCTCTTTGTGTGTTTGTATACCGGTGAGCGTGTCATTGCCCCCTCCCCCATCTACACACACACACAAACAGAGAGAGAGAAACCGGAAGAGACACATGTCGACACACACACATATGCTGTCTCTCTCAGATCACCAAGAATGTCGGTCCCGTCCCCTCCGTCCAGCACATTCGCCGCCGTGCTCCCCAAAATCTCGTCAGCCCTCCCTGTCCCCCTCACATTCTGCACTGCCGAAACAGCCGACAGCTTTATCAACTGCCCCTGCCCTCCACTGCCGCCACTGCCATTGTCTTCATCCTCCGTGTCACACACGAGCATGGATACCCCTGTCTCTGTGTCGGTTTCATTTCTGCATGTGGGTGGGATGTGCTCGGACTTTGTGCGCAAAGCCGCGAATGCGGCTTGTATGTCGTCCCATGGTGCGCGGGGGGGCGGGGGTGTGGGCGGGGTGTCGTCCTTGTCCGATGGTGGGGGGGATGTGCTGATTGTTGGAGGAGAGGTGTCGGTTTCAGAGTCAGGGAGGGGGGATGGGCTGCATGTCATGACACACACACATGCACGCCTGCAAGTATGGAAGAGACTCTCTGTGTATGTGCGAATGTGTGCTTACGTCAGAGAAGGAGACGGAGAGGGAGACACAGAGACACTGACGACATACAAAGAAGGAGACATACAGACACACACACACACGCGCATACGTACCTCTCGGTCTCAGTTGGCTCCTCTGTGCTGCTGGCTGCCTCGGTCTCTGATGAAGGTGGGATCGTGTCTCCTGTTGGAGGCGTCTTCCTGCCCATCGCACACGCACGCACCAGATGCAAGCAGGCACGTGTGGACGTACGTGGTGCTTGTGGTGGTGGTGGTGCTGGTTGCAGCTGAGAGAGACACACGGCCAGACCAGACATGAGACCGAAGGCGAGCTTTCCATTCTCCTCACTTGTTGGCGGCTGTTGGTTGGAGGGGTTGAATGACACCTGCACACACGTACACACTGACCTTGCGCCGCGTCGCGTCATTCACATGGCCTATGACCATGCGCACGTACAGTGATAGTGCTCATCCTCTGCCAGTTCGACTTCGTCTGTGCTATCACGGCCTGCATACACACACACACACACACAGACGTCCACACACAGATTTCGCCGTGCGTATACACATGTCATGTCACGTGCCTCGAAAGTGACGCTGCCGGCAGTCTCCTCCACATTATACCACTTGATGCCCTCCGGCATGTCCTTGTCCACGCTATCTGTCCAACGGGGAAGGCACTCAGAGGGGGAGAGAGAGAGAGTGTCGTGCCGGCATGAGTACCTCTGTGTGTCAAGAAAGGCCCCGATCCAGGGCCGCAGTTCATTTCCTGCAGAACACTGTTGCCAGGCCTTATCCACCCGCCCCTGCTTGCCTATCAACACACACGCATACCCACACTGTGTCTGCGTGTGCAACAGACGAATGCACGGCTGACCTTGAGGCTCATGCCCTGGAATTGATAGCCACTGAGCGTTACACTAGCCGTCATCTCATCGTCCTTCGTCACCGACCTGCACAGGCAGCGCCATACATACGGATGTCACTGACTCAATGCGGACGCGCCGAATTCTGCCGCGGCATTTCATACCAGGAGTAACCTCTATTCGCGTTTGAACCGTGTCCAGGCGTCACTACGCCGCACTGCACGCGGCGTGGACATGCGCACGCAAAGCGCTGCTTGCTCTTACCTGTTCCTCCTACTCAGTGCTTACCGGTGCGCCAGAAGCCAATCCCTCACTCATGCGGCCGCCGAAGAGCACGCAGATGACCACAAGGAGCAGCACCAAGCTGTCCACGCGCATTTTTTTTCTGGGGGCCGGTGGGGGTGGTCGAGAAAACGACAAAACGACAAAAGCCAGTCTCATGTGTGGGATGTGTGCGGGAGAACCTTTGCGTCGTGCCCTCTTTCCCGCACGACTCGGCGGTATTCTGCCATGCACACGCCGGTTGCTGCTGCAGTGGATCTGAGCTCATGTGTACTTCATTTCAGGGTCGTCAGTGTCTCCTCATCGTGATGTCAACGACACAGTTAACGGTACAAAAAGAGGACAAACACTTGTTCACGCGCTACTGCATGGGCATCCCCATCCCGCATCCGTGGCAAGACACTGATAAGCGAATGCACATATACATATAGGGAGGAGAAATGCCGGCCGACCCGCCACCCAGCCGCCCTGCGTCGAGTGATACATACATGTATTTTGCATGTACGCTGCGGCAAAACATACAAATTCCTGGTGCGCTACACATCTATAGAATGATCCCAAATAGAGCCAAGGAAATAGAGAGCTCAAGCACATCATCGCAACAGCGCAACACATAGAAAAAGAGACACCTTTTCGGACGCCTCCATCCTTCTACTCTTCCCACGTGCACACATGCCCAGGGCCATCTGTCTGGTGCTTGCTTTGGGCACCAGACACACAGGTAGGCAAGCGCTATCCACCCAACCACCGACCAGTGTATACGCTCATCAGATGGTCCTGTCCTCGATTAGGAGGAGCAGAGCATTGAAGAATCCCTCGATCCGCACCAGCGTCTCCCTCTGCTCGGGGGTCAGCTCATCCAGTTGCAGTAGCTCATCCACACCAGCCAGTATGTCGGTGATGAACTCAGACACACTGTCCAGGACGCCCTCATCAGGCTCGCCGTCGCCCTGCTCCGGCGTGCTTTTTGCGTGCTGCTTCATGCGGGTCTCCTCCTCACCGACCGCCTTGTGGTCGCCCTTAAGGGCCTTGATCGTCGCGAAAGCATCCCTGAGGGCCGTGGCTGCCTTCACCGTCGGCTGCTCGAGCCCCGCTGATACACACAGAAAAAGGCGCACGAAACCCATGGCATCCGTGTGTGTGTGTCTGTGTGGGAGGGGAGGGGGGAGGGGAGAGGGGAGGCTTACCCTTGTCTGCTTTCTTTTCGATTTTCTCGAGGATTTCTCCCAGCTGCTGCTTCAGGGCGTCATGACGGGAGCCCGGCGCGGCGGCGACGAGTGGCGCCAGAACGAGGGTGGTAACCAGCGAAAGCGTGAAAATGACGCTCGTCATGGCTGTAAAAAAACTCGAAATGCGCCGTTTTCAGCCGTTGAAATCCAAATGCGCCGTTTTCAGCCGTTGAAATTCTGTACGCCGTGCATCCGGCCGTTGGGTCACGTACACGTACAAGACAGAAGCAGACGGACCTGCCTATCCATTTTCCAAAACAGGCCACCAGCTCCTCTCCCGTACTCCACATATATATATTTTCAGTACACGAACGCCATGGCTGCCCTCCTCTTCCTTCTCGTCGCCTCCGCCCTCCTCCTCGCGCCGCCCTCTGCAGCCGGCGCGGATGTCACAGCCGCCCCGGAGGTCGCCGATTCCTCGTCGCCGGACCTTGCCGGGGCCCTGGGCGAGCAGCTGGAGAGCTTCCTCAACCGAATGGAGAAGAAGATCGGTACGGCAGGGACACGTGCACTTACGCAGATAAGCTTAAGATGAAGCGGCACCCTCTGTGTCTCTGTGTGTCTGTTTGTGTGCCGTCGTGTGTCTGTGTGTCTGTGTCTGCAGGAAATGTCTCTCCTATGGTTACTGATGACGGCAAGACGCCCGCCGAGAAGATCAAGGCGGCTCTGAAGCACATCGAGGCCGTCAAGACCACAGCCGCTGCCGCCACCGCACCGAAGAAGGCTGACGAGCCCCACAAGCCAATTGTGGAAGAAGCTGAGCTGACAGTCATCATCACCATGATTGAGCAGCTGATTAAAGAGATCGAATCCTTTCTGAACGCCCTATTTCTGAAGGCCGAGCGGGGTGAACGAGAGGGTCTCGAGGGTCTCGAGAGTCTCGGCGTCCTCTTCTACACTCTGCTCACGTATTTGGAGCCCTTCCTGGTCACCCTGGCTGACATCTTCCTCTGAGTCTGAAGCCGCTGGCTGAAGCCGTGCTGTGTGTGTGAGCCGGGGGATAGGGGGAGAGAAATGGGGGGCGGGTCACAGTGCGTAGTACATGTGTGTGGATGGCGTAATATCAACTTTCAGCAGCGGTGCGATGGCGTCAAAATGGAGCGTCCATCCATGTAGTTTGTGCTGCCGTCTGTCTGTGCGTGCCTTGATGCTGACGTACGTGAAAGAGTCTTCATCAGGTCCTCTCAGATGCGTGTTCGTGTGTGTGGGGAGGTTTTGTGTGGCTCCCTCTCCACGACCGCTGGCATTTGGTGTATACCGTCTCTTAGAACGATAGACGATGAGTAGAGGATGAGTAGCCAACAGCAGCCGACTCACTGACCCGCACGTACACGGACGAGGGGAAGGGAGAGAGAAGGGATGACTGCAGGCGTTGACTGATGAGTGTGTGGATGGACGGATTCATGGGATCGATACGTGAAGGTGTTGCAGTTGCGTGTTGGTCCCCCAAATGCGCAAATCAACTTCCCGCTCGATAAGAAAATGAGCCTTGGCATGCTGCTGGCCCTGTTGTGCATTTGCCTATGGCATCTGTGTGTGCTTTGCAGCATGGGTACATCCACAAGGTGAGGGCCGGCAAGGTCGTCCCCCGCAGTGACTGCAGGTCACACACTGCACACTGGATGAATGGATGGATAAATGGAGTGGCGTGTCTGTCTGTCTGTCTATGTGTGTGTGTGTGCGTGTGTGTGTGTGCAGGCAGGTCACGTCGTTGTCTCCGAGAGGAACTTCGTCTCCAAGTGTGAAGCCTGGCGGACGCCTGCACCGCACATTCAGACATGAACACAGCAACGCACCGGCGATGGATGTGTGTGTGTGTCCATGTGTGGTCTGTCTGATCTGATCTTGTGCAGGGTTGTCTGGCGTTGGCCTTGTTCGAGGCACCTCCCCTCTCGCTCGCCACCCTCACCTCACCCGAGGCCCTCCAGAAATTCGACAGAATCCTCACACAGCCGCTGCACCAACAGCAGCCATCGACAGCACCACCACTACCAGCGGCAGCAGCTGGGGACACCACTCAGCAGCAGCAGCAGCAGCAAGGTTCATCGGCAGACCAGCAGAGGGCGGCGCAGGGCCAGGCCGCTGCGGCCAAGCCGAAGCCGAAGCCAAAGGTTAAGACCAAGCTGAGGCGGTTCATCTGTGGCGGAGAGGACGGCATGATGCCATGCCGCCGTTGCCCACCAGCCTTAAGAAAGAGGTACGTGGGCGGCTGACTGGCTGGGTGCCACTAAATATAGAGTCATGTAGGGACGGCATGAGTGTGTGGCGTATGTCTTGTGTGTGTGTGTGTGTATGTGGTTTCAGTCTGATAACGCTAGGGAGGTTGCGGAGCTTCAGCAGGCCAACGCCTCCCTCGACCAGCAGCTGCTGGTGCTTCAGCAATCTGCCGGTACGCTACGCGGGGTGGGCTGTCCAGCCAGCACAGCACAGCATAGCATAGTAGATAGAAACTGTACCTCTCTTTCTCTCTGTGTCTGTGTTGTGTCGATGTGTGTGCTTGAAGGGGAGTTGCGTGACACCATTGAGTGCCGTCTTCGGTCGGCGGTGGGCGGGGAGCTGACGCGACAGGGGGCGGCGGTGGCGATGGGCGGAATGGGTCGTGGAGAGGGCCACGGGGGGGCAGATGACCAGGTCAGGCTGACGAATGGCGTCGGCTGATCTACGTAATACATGCTGTGTGTGTGTGTGTGTGTGTGGAGGGAGAGACAGACCGCCCGACACACTCGATGAACGTGTGTGTGTGGGAGCATGAAGGGTATAGGAACGTGTGCGCGTGTCGACTGTGAAAGCTACACACGTCATTGTGACGAGAATGTGAAGAGATTTTCACCCTGTGGTGAGGACTGACGTACATTTGTGTGGGTTTGTTTCTTTCGTTTAGTTGATCATCGTCCATCAGATCGGTCCGCCGATATAGACATGAAATGTGTGTGTGAATGTACAGACGCACAGACAGCCAGACCGACACGACCGACACGACCGGCACGTATCACTCCGCTCCTCCCTCCCTCCCTCCCTCCCTCCCGCATCAGTCCACCCCTGGCCCTCTGTCATGCATACATCCAACCAGCCGGCCCCACCCGCCTCACCTCATCCGCACAAGCCATGGAAGTCTCTTAAAACACACACAACACCCCACACCACATCCAGTGGGCAAACCAAACGGCAAACATGGACAGCCAGACAGACAGACAGCCACAGCCAGGCGATGCCCCCCACTACCGGACAAACCGAACCTCGTATGGATGGTATCTCTCCGCCTGCAGACAGGACAGATAGCCACACACACACACACAGACACACAGACACACAGATACAAACAGGCAGAGACCCCATGCACCCACACACCCAGCAGATGGGTGTGCGGCCGTGTGTGTCCATCACGCATCGAACCACATACCTGCTAGCCCTAGTGGCCGTGCGGACACTGTCGTGACAGTGCTCAGTGACCGCACGCCGCCCCCGCCTTGCAGACACCACCGCAGCAGTGCTGTCCTGCCGGACAGTCGGTGTCCTTGACGCACCCCGTAGTGATGAAAGAGTGGTGGTGGCCGTGGCAGACACCGTCGTGACAGTGCTCTCCTGGCCCACAGGGGGGGGTTGCACCTCTCCGGCTGGGCCCCGCTGATGAGGTGCATCTGTCGGTGGGCGCTGCGGATGGCGTCGAGGGCGGTGCTGGCCATCTCGTGGGCCGCCTCGCCCATCTTGTGGGCCTGTTCCATCATGGACTTGGCCTGGTACACCTGCTGCTGCACGAGCGACAACTGGACCTGATGGCCAGAGACACCTGCACAAACACATTGCACACACCATGCAGCAACACACATCCATCCATTTATCCATCCATCCATGCCACCACGTGCGCAGTGCATTCATCTCGCATTTGTGTGTGCCGTGCATGTGTGTATGCCGCACACATTAGTTGCTGTGGGTGCCGGTCTGCAGGCGGGAGATCTCCTTAGTGCGGCCAACAAACGATGCATCTGCACACAGCGGACAAGTAGGACAGTCACATATGGCTCAGGAGTGATGTATACGCCATAGATCTGGTCAAATGCACCCACCAGTATCGCCGTAGTTGCTGTACGTGGCCGAGGCCACAGCTACGGAACAGACGGCCGCCAAGGCGATGAGGAGCGCATACGAGGGACCCTTCATCGCTGCCAACAACCAAATCGACAACCAAATCGCCGCGGAAAGCGAAAAACTTCCTTCCCTGGCGGCACGATATGTAGGGCACGGCAAATCCGATCGTGACGTGTGACGGCGTCTATGGGAGGGAGGCCGATCGCTTCATTCGCCGCTTGGCGGAGCTCATCAACAAGAGGGGCGGATGGGACAGATATGGTGTTGGCCGGGTCGAGCAATGGATTCGGGCGCGGCTGTCAGTGTGCCTGGCTCGTTCGGTGTCTGCGTGTCTGCGGCGGCCCAGGAGGAAGGGCCGGTGGCATTGGTTGTATCAGAGGGGGCGTTGGGGTGATGGGGCAGGGATGTTCGTGCCTGGGGAGCCTCTCGTTTTCTGAGGGTGCCCCCCTGTGAGTAGGCGTGTGGGGATAGTGTGTGTTGATTGGCCTGGTTGCCTGTCAGTCTGGTTGGTAGTCTGTCTGTCTATCTGTCTGTCAGTCCGCATGTCTGTCCACTGCATTCGCGTGTGCTGCTCATGAGCATTGTTTGTCCATTTGAGTGTCTGTAGCTCGTTATCATTGCATTGCGATCGACTGTTCATGTTTGTCCGTGCCGTGGACCAACGCGTGTGTGGCCCCCGGCGCATCGTTACACATCAATCAATTCATTTTCAAATCCGATGCACATGCATTGAGGACATTTGGATTGAGGACATCGGAGCGGATTGGTTGGTTAGTGTGTTGAGGACGTCCGGGGAGAGAGGCCACCGCTGCTGCTCAGGAAGGTAGGCACGCAGTGTGCAGCATCAGATGCAGCAGCAGCGAGATCTCACAAGAATGCACTGCTTTGTCCCCGTCAGAACAGATCTTCGTTGGACTCTTCAGTGATGTCTTCGCCGTCCTCTCTGCTGGTGCTCACTCTCGAGGAGGCCAGCGACCTCATTGTGGACGCCGAACGGTCGCTCTCATCTCATCTGCGGCACACGCTCGAGACCATACAGCGCGGCACACACGAGTCCATCCGGCGGCTCCACGGCCTCCTGCCGGCACTCATCGACAATGCTTCCATGCCGCTTGGCGTGTCGGTGGGGGCCGATGTGCTGATGCTGTGGATGAGTGCCTGGTGCGGGAGGTGCGGTGCATTCGGGCGTCTGCATCTCGAGCAAGAGGGCGAAGGCGATGAGAGAGGCGGATGAGGAGAAGGAGTCGGTCGGTATGCCTCTGCAAGGTCAGCGGCGAAGAGCTCATTTTTGG